AAACTCGAACTTCTGATCCTCATCAGGGGTGAGGGAGCCCTCGAGGTCAGCGTACCACAAATCATTCAACTCTGAGTTGTAGTAATCCACCAGGTGCATCTCTGTCTTAGTAATAGACAGTTCATCGATGAGTTTTCGATGCTCGGCCTCGGGAGGCTCGTTATATACCTTCCAAGTCATGCCCGTGTTGCCATCTGGCTTCGTAGTCTGGGTACCAAGAATGGGGAGGAATCGATGCGTCTGGGCTCCCACGGTGTAAATAGGGTCCGAGCCTAACTTCTTACTGATTCCATCATACGGAGTCACGGCATAGTATGCAGCGAGCGAGGCAGAGCCACCACCATGGTAAGTAGCGACTTTGGCGTTGGGACCGATGACGAGAGTCTTTTTATCCTTCTTCAGGGGCAAGATATTGTTCTCATTTTTGAGCAGAACGATACTCTCGTTTCCGATCCTCCGCAGAAGAGCAGCTGTCTCCGGAGTATCACGCGGATTCTCAGGGCCGTTCTCCTTGACACCCGAGGCGGCGCACTTCTTAACAAAGTTGAGCACCTCGCGAGCACGGGCATCAATGACGTGGTGGAAGGGTTTCCCGGTGGAAACACTGAACTTGAGGGGCTCACCCCGGAACCGCGGAGGTCCGGGCATTTCAAGGTCGAGGCCAGCCTTGACAGCGTCGATGGTGCTGTAAGTGCCGTACCAGTCACTCATAATCAAGCCCTCCCAACCCCATTCCTGGCGCAGCAATTCCTGCAGATACTTGGGGTTTTCACTACAAAACGTTCCATTGACGGCGTTGTACGCTGTCATGAAGGCACCTGGTTGCGAGTCCCGCACAGCAAGCTGGAAGGGCAGGGCATAGATCTCACGAACAGCACGCTCGGTGACGATAGCCTGGACCCCCATCCGCTTGTCCTCCTGGTCGTTGCAGAGGAAGTGCTTGACGGTAGCTTGGACACCCGTCTTTTGGATTCCCCGGACGAGGGCTGCGGCGCCCAGGCCGGCGAGGAAAGGGTCTTCACCAATTGACTCGAAACCGCGTCCGCCCAGGGGTGAACGTTGCATGTTGATTGTAGGGCCTAGAATTACGTGCGCACTCTTGGCCTTGGCTTCTTCACCCATGGTCTCGCCAGCCTCCTCCAGGAGAGATTGGTTGAAGGTGGCGCCCAAGGCCGTGCCGCAGGGGAAGCAGGCAGCCGGGATGCCGTTGAAGAATCTAGTTCCTCGGACGCCATTAGGACCATCCGTCACCCGAATTGAGGGTACGCCATGGTCTGGCAGTGCTTTGGTATGCCAAAAGTCGATTCCTAGAAGGTGTTCATTAATGGGCTGCTCCGTTAAGATCGGGGCCTCGAAGGGACAAACCTGCCAGCAGGTCAATCTTCTCGTTGATGGCCAGCTTCTTGAGCACCTCATCCACATCGAAGTCGGCCATACTGAAGAGCACTAGTAGTATTCTCTAATGCTAGGATAATCACCGTCTAGAAGCAGGAAACGAGGGGGACGACCACAGAACTCTAGTATATTGTATTCTCAATTATCTAACAAATATCGTCTGCATGAACGAGGAGAGGGGCTGGAAGCAACATAAATACCTGCTCACCAATCGACCCTCAATAGCCCAGCCCGTGGAGAGGAGAGCTCATGGGATGGATGGTGCCACAAGCGAATGAGGAACCAGGCTCATGTCGATTCTTCGGCCCGGGGATCCTCTGGGAGCCACCGTCCTGTTAACCGCACTTCAGCCGATGCGAGCCAAGAGTCCGAGACTTAACCGGCATATCCAGAGCTTTACCGAGAGCCGTCCGTATTGGCAGCGAATCATCTGGCTGGAGAGCTCGTCTGTCTCTCCACAGGTTTCGTGGTCTCGGGACGATACTCCGGTGAGAAGGCCTTCACACACCCTATGAGCATGCGTGAGGCAGAGACAGATTAAGTATGACAGGGGTGGCGTGTGGGGGATCTTCTCTTGGAAAATCAGGGAGTGGAGTTCCGGCGTGGAATGCCTATGCCCAGCCCAAGGGACAAGAGATACCGTGTTCTCTCGCCATGGACGGACACTGTGAGTGGAGTTGTTCATTACCTTCTTGGGTACATGTATGCAATGGGTGTTATCCTTGTAACCACTGGGTCACCTCTGCGATTGCGTCCCTGAACAGCAGATCGGCATATGCCAGATGAAAGGTGAACATGAACTGTGGCCGGAGCGGCCTGTCATACAAGGGATTGCAGACAAGTGATTGGCTGTGGATTTGGACCGTCGTCGGTTCATCAGCCGGTTGCTGCCTTGAGCGAGGAGCTCTCACGACTGAGAAACGGTGAGCGCCGGCAAAGACGGTCTCATCGCTGCCAAAGGCGAAGTCAACATAGCTTTCGCTTGGCTCGCTGCCGCTGCGCTCAGCCAGTTTCTTGTCAGTGACCTGGAACACCCCAAACAAGACCGAGTGCAGGGGAGGGAGTTTATTGTCCTGCAGGTCTTTGGTTGACCATATTCGCTGTCCCGTTGAGGGAGCATGCGCACCTGATTCTTGTCATCAGCTTCCCATATTCCTGCCGGCAGCAAATGCCACTCTCACTTACTGGTAAATTTGACCAGATTCAATCCCAAAGTTTGCAGCGTCAGTCGCTCAAGACCAATGACAACGCCTCCGAAATACCCCTTGACAAACCTTGCTAGCAAGGCCTCATCAGGCTCATTTTGAAGATGTGCGGGAATCTCGACAGTGATGTGCCGCGAGTCACCCAGGTCCCGGTGGCCTTTGAGGTTGACAATATCCTTGATTGATTTGGACTGTCGGAATGCGTCCGGGGCGGTGTCTCGTATCGTTATTCGCTTACGATCAACTGCCTTGACACGCTGATGGACTAGAAATCCATACGTGCCTCCTACCGCGATGGCCGTGACAAGTGATGTAGCGAGCAATTTGCTGGAAATACTGCGTGCCATGATGGATTGTGATGTCAGCTGGATGAGATCAATTGACAGAGAAATCGATGAATATGACTCTGAATCGCTGCCCCAGACGTGATGGATGTTTAATAGCAAATACCATATCGGGAGAGCGCGTCTGACAAAAACCTCCGATTCCTCCCGTAGTCGCGGAAGGTTTCTGGTCCGGGCTGAAGCTTGCAGCATCACCAGGTCAGCAATAGCGGAGCTCTACTCTCTTCAGTCTCTCCGCCCTCTTTCAGCTGGTGGCTCTAGCTGCCGTAGTGAACACGAATTCCTTTTTCTACCCTCGCATTCGGCATTTTGTAATAAAATGGCAAAGATGCGTCAAGAAATCTTACGCATACATCTCCATTTGTTCTCCCAGCGAGAAGTGACTGCCTTGGTATAGGGTGGGCTGCGAATGGCGGTGCTCACCAACCAACTTTTTCATTTCCGCTTTGCCCTCCCACCAGAGCACCCTGGAAACATCATCCCGTATCATGACCTCTAAGAAGGCAAACATGACAGTTACTGTCTAGGCTTCCACTTGATAGTTTCAAAAATCTCCGCCGCATACCTATTTATGAGCCACGATGCTTAGTAGCAGGCGGACTTCCGCCGGGTACTTGATGATAATTCCACTCTATCCAGCATGTAGACATTTCGCCATTGAGAAGATAACGTCTTTCCGGAACTATAAAAGCATGAGAAGAGCGCGGAGAATAGGAATAGCTAGAGACTTGAAATCCACAGCATTCTGCACTCACTCTAACCTTCAAAACTGTGACTCTAAATTCGTCCCTGGCAACTCCAAGACACCATGATTTACACGACATACACCCAATTTTTCCCTCCAAAGCCAACTTTCACAGAGGAGAATCTCCCCTCCCAGAAAGGGAAAGTTTTCATGGTAACAGGCGGCAACTCGGGCATCGGGTATGAGTTGTGCAAGATTCTGTATGGCTCAGGGGCCACGGTCTACATGGCAACTCGATCGGAGGTAGGTTCCCATGAACTCAGAAGTCCTTTCTCGACTAACAACTAACGAAAACTGCGAAGAAACGAGCCACAGAAGCTATTCAAACCATCACTCAATCGACACCTTCGTCACAGGGAACCCTCAAATTCATCCACCTTGATCTTGATGATCTGAATACCGTCAAAGCTGCAGCCGCAGCCTTCGCCGCCCAGGAATCCAAGCTCGATGTGCTATGGAACAATGCAGGTCTCTCTGCATTTCGGTTCGCGTCTGATGCAAGAACCACACAGGGATTTGAACCCATGATGGGGATGCACTGCATCGCCACTCTGCTATTCACCCAGCTTCTCAAGCCCCAGCTACAGGCTGCTGTGAGGGCTTCACCAGGGTCGCCCGGCTCTGTACGCGTCCTCTGGACGGCAAGTATCTCACTTGACGGGTCATCTCCGCCCAATGGAATCGAGTTTGACCTGCTCACCACGGGGGGTAAGGATCCCACCCGGAACTACGGCGCCTCCAAGGCCGGATCCTGGATCCTGGCCCGTGAGATGGCTCGGAGATGGGGGGCTGATGGTATAACCACCGCTTGCCTCAACCCCGGAAACGTCAAGTCCAATGGTTATACGGATGCCCCCAACAGGGTCATGTTCGTCCTCAAGAGACTTCTCTCTGAGACCAAGTCTGGAGCCTACACCGAATTATACGCAGGATTGTCTCCAGATGTTAAGAATGGGGATTATGTGATTCCGTTTGGGAGGATTCGTACAGACAAGGAGTGCCCTAGACAGGACATTGTCAAGGCCATTACCCCTGAGGAGGAGGGTGGCCTGGGTTACTGTAAGAAGTTCTGGAATTGGTGCGAGGAGCAGTACAAGCCGTTCATTTGATTTTGCTTTTGCAGTTACAAAGATATTGATCCCTCCAAATGTTTTTTGACCTAGATAGTTTATTTTCCTAATATCCTCGATTATCATTCCCGCCCTTTTATTCCACATTCTATTGATACAATTATGAAAAACCATATTTCCGGCTAGGCAATATCCTCCAAAACGCCCAGATAGACCACCGTTTTTATCATGTCAAACGAGCCTAGTTTCCAATGTTGGTGTTGCCTCTTGATCGTGGTGGCTCCCCATGAGTGGCCTCCATGACTCTAGATGGCGACAGGCCCCCCTCACCGTCTGACTGGGAGCTCTTGGCCCCCTTTTCCTCCATGTACAAATCATAGAGGCCGTCATTGCCGACAGGATCGAATCTGTACCTCCAGCCGGACCCGACAGCATGTACTCCTCGATCGCTAGTCATCGCCCGGAAGATCTGAGCCTCACTTATTGGTCCCCCATCGGGCACGATCACACGCTCGGCAACCAACGTCACGCCAATAGCTAAGAGTAACTGCAAACCGGCAGTGAGCGCAAAAGTCATGTGTATCAGGTTCCAATGCTCTACACCCAGCTTCTGCCCGATCTGCGGCGCTCTGCCTTCCAGCGTGATGCCCGAGTTGGACTCTGCGGCCATGGCGATCACGCCGATGGCGAACCGCGATAGCAACCCTTCCATGGCCCGGGTTGAACCGTTGGCTGGCTTCCCTGGCACGGTGGCGGACGGGTAGACCTTGTATTGCAGGGTCTTCATGGGATCAATATCCTGTTCTGTGCTGCCGGATGACGGGCTCGCGAAGCCCTGGAGGCCGATGGCCGTGGTGGCGAGGTAGGTTACATTCTCGCCGATCTCATGCTGCGGGAGAGTCGCGTTCTTCACGGGGCCTTGGAAGGTGGTGCAGCTGTAGTACCAGGAGCCATCGGCTGAGACCTCGAACACGGACATGATCCGGCAGTTGGGCCCGCACTCTTGGCCGTAACTTGTCATGAAGGTGGATTGGTCTGACCCGGGTGTGGTGGGGAGGGTGATGACGGTGTCCTTGGACTCGGCGTTGATTGTGATGTTGGTCATGGTGCCATTTCCTCCGCGGATGACGGGGTAGCTGCTGCACCGGCTGGTGATTTCCACGCTGCGGTTGGTGGTCGATTGGACGGGAATGGCCCCTGGGTCGGCGGCGAGCTGGGCGTTTTTCTCGTGGAAGATGTAGGTGCATGATGGGGAGTTACCGTCGCAGAAGACAGCAGGGTCCTCTTGGAACCAGAGATAGCCCTTGTTGGGGATCTGGTCGAGTGTTCCCTGGCTATACGCAAGAGACATTGTCCCATAGCTAGTAGATATATGTATTAGAATCCTGTGAGAAGAACATGGCATATGACACGCGGGGTGAGAGGGCTGTGTATCTTACGTATTTGCTGTGTACTGCTGTGCGCTCAGGGAGTCGGATGATTTGACGATCCGGTCGGTTTCTAACTTGGACATGTCGGGGATCAGGATTTGCCCCTTGACTAACATGGCTTTGTGCTCGGTCTTCTCCACGCCAAAAGTCAAACCGACAGCACCTAAGTTGAACACGTCAGTGGATTATTCCGGAATTCTTAAGACGCTGCTTCGTCTCTGTTTGATAACAGGTGAACTTACTGTAGGCAACCTGCGATCCCTGTAGCATTACTTTGTGTAAGCAGATGATGAATCCTATGGTTGTTTCACTGATGACATACCACGATGAGAAGAAGCCAGACCAAAACCGAAATGTGAATCGAGATTCGCTTGGACCTAAAAGCGAGAAGGAAAATACTTGACATGCTAGTTGCATTCATTATCGCCTCAACCTATCATTGTGTTAGCATTAACATCATATAACTCCGTTGTTATACTTGCCTTGTGGGCTGACCGATATCGTCGAGATAGAATCCACCACCTGACATCGTTGACCACGTTATTCAGCTGGCTGACGGTAACTATACCGAGGGAGAGAGTGAACCCGACAAAGAGAGCGTAGAAGTACCGCTTCTCGGATCTGGTAATCAGGTCGGGTTTTGAGTATCCGATCAGGAGGATATAGACGACGGCAACGAATAGGACAGTGACCAGCCATCTTGCGATGAGGTTTATCCAGACTCGTTTTCGAGAGCGGCGTCTAGCTGCAAGGCCACGGAATTGGTACTTCTGCGCTCCCTTTTCGAGGGGAATGGCACCGCCCTGGTCTGAAAATGGAGACTGGTCAGTACAGTTGAATCTCCGACCCCCGGAGGTTCGTTCTGCCCATCAAAGGAGAGAAATTCAAGGGAGTAATTAAGTTTGCTTGAGGACTTACTTTCCGTCCATCCTGATGTAGGACCGTCTATGAGTGGCCTGAACTCGACGGATGTGGGCGACATGGATGTGGAGCTACCACGAAGGAGTTGGTTGTCGATTTAAGGATGTCGATCTCGCTTCAATAAGCAGGCTCGAATGGCAGGCATGCAACTGGTCTAGTGAAAGAAGAGAGGGTAGGAAAGAGGAAGACGCTGGTAGATATCTAAGCGGCGAAGGCATGATCCAAGCTATTGTACGCCATCAGCCAAGGAAGTCTCATATCGACCAGCAAGAGCCAGCACGGTCTTACTGCCCAGCCCTGGGCTCTTCTGTCAATCTCATTCTAAGTCATGCCAAGACGGAATACATGGCAGACGGTGAATTACGCACAAGCCAACAATCCCCCGAGCGATGCACGACCTGGCACCAGTCGCGGGCACGACGGCCAGCCACATCTGATAGCCCGCCACAGCGTGAGGCGCATTCCTCCAGCCGTCCAACAGTAAGCGGGCATCTGGAATCACGAAACGGGCGGGTGGACGAAGCGGACGCAGCGTGGGCTCGGCGCGGTGTTGCCGAAGAACCGGCTTGGAATGCATCATCACCAACCAATGGCCCGAATTTGATTATACGCCTTGGCCTGTCGCAACAAGCAGCCAATTCCACCAGCCGCGCGGCCCGTCAGTCCAGGCCCGGGCCACATATTGCTCGACATAGGGGCCGAAGCTGACAGTACCTTAGATTGAGGCAATAGTAGATGCAAATCTGCCTGGCGATCCTCATCCCGGACCCTGACAGCCCTACCCGATAGCATATGCACCGCTTCGCCTTGGCGTGCAGGCACTTTTGCGCTTGTGAGTCAAAGCACATTGCTACACGTCGATGGACTGACCCACCAGAGGGCTGGACTCCCTGCATGTCGCAGCCAAGACTATTGGACGCGCAAGCTCACGATATCATATACGCCGGCGTCAGGGGCAGAGGGGAGAGACGTCCAAGCAGTGACTGCAAGTTCAAGCATTGAGTCGGGAGATGGCTGGAGATAAAGGCGGAAGCTAGCTTAATTAACCATAAAAGTCACCTTAAAGCCTAGCCGAACCTTGCAGGATGAGAGGTCTGGATGCCCCAAACTGCTTGTTAATGATATTAGGCCACAGTGGCTCTACAGACCAATCTCGAAAGCTTGAGCACTCCATCGATATAGCTTACCGGACCTCCTAGCCCAATCCAAGAGAATCGATATCTCTGCGCTGCATGTTGGGACGGCTGATGTTTGTAGGCTTGAGCTATTGGATGTCAAAAGGTCTAGAGTCTCACGCCAAGCTCAGCTGCATGGTTTTTGAATGCAGCAGTGGGTTGATCAACTGCCGGTCCATCCATCCACGAATTGCCGTTCTAGCCCTGGTATTTTTAGAATCTCAAGGCGCCCTTCTTGGCTCTGAGAAGCTTTGATGCCGGAGTCGTCCTTTCAACTGGCTGGGCAGACTTAATGGAAATGGCTGGATGAGCGGATAAGACATGTGAGAGAGAATCTTTGGTTTCTAATTGTGAGTCAACGCACGTGAGCCAGATGGACCAACTGGAGGGCTGGACTCCCCAGTGTCGCAGCCAAGACGATGGGACGCGCAAGCTTCCGAAATATCATCGAGCTTCAGGGGGGAGAAGGAGAGGGAGAGAGCTCGAAATAAGGACAGCCGAATCAGTCATTCAAACATTAGGTACCAATTATAGTTGGAAGTACCGAGATTCTTCTACCTACATGCCCATCATCTCTTCCTTCATGTCGTATCCATGTCAAATATTCATCCCATCTAAAAAAGTACGTAACAATAACACTCACTCCCTATGCGCCAGCACAACCCACATGCATCCATGTACGTGATAGATACCATTTGAAAGCCAGGAGACAAAACACGCACTCCATCACCAACCGAAACCAGCCACGTCAAGTGAGACAGCACAATTCTTTCAACTCATCACGGCTGTTGGCCTGCGCTGGCTTTGGCTGTTGGCTCCCTTGCCGGGTCTGCTTAGTGTGTACTTGGCAAATGCCCGGGCAAGCGCCTTCTTGCAGCTCAGCTTCTGGCTGCCGACGAAGCTGTCCACTGTTACGGCGATCGCTCGGTCAATGTCTTGGGCCGAGCAGTACTCCGACAGTCTCATTTTGCAGAAAGACTCGCTAATACGGATGATGGCTTCCAAGTGACGTACCTAAGGACATGTGTTAGCAACCAGTATATGTTTCGGCAAGTCCACGAGCTCAAGGGTCGGTCCGAAGGTCGGGAGAGGAGGGTAACTTACGGTAATGGGGTAGGCGCCCGTCGCGAGGGACTCTCTTCTCATGTCAGAGAAAAGTCGTGCGATCTTGTCCTCATCCAGGTGGTACAGCTTAGGGTGGCATCGCTCTCTGGCATACAGGATGTACTTTCTCAGAAGTTGTTGTGGGATCTCACCCTCCTTGTTGCGTGATGCCGCTCCGTTTGTCCCCTGAGTCTCTGCCTGCTCCGAGTCATGTTCAACTTCCATCGAGTCCTGGGTCATCTTGGACTGAGACTCGGGATGGCTACGGCTGTGGGATCCAACGATGAAGCGAGCAAGGCGTTCATCCTCAGATGGCTCCACCGTGTCTCGCACGACACACAGAATGTCGAAACGAGACAAAATAGGCTCTGTAAGCTCCACGTTGGCGGAGAAGGGTGCAGTCGAGTTGTATCGACCGCCGATAGGGTTAGCTGCTGCGATGATACCGCAGCGGGCCTGTAGAGTAGTAACAATACCAGCCTTGGAAATAGATATGGTTTGCTGTTCCATGGCTTCGTGAATAGAGGTTCGATCCTGATCATTCATCTTGTCGAATTCGTCGATGAGACAAGTTCCCTGATCCGCAAGGACAAGAGCACCTCCCTCCAGAGTCCATTCGCTTGTCAGAGGGTCTCGACGGACACTAGCCGTCAGACCGACTGCACTGGCACCTTGACCAGTTGCAAATACGGCTCTGTGGGCGGTCTTTTCGACATATTTAAGCACCTGAGACTTGGCAGTTCCGGGATCACCAAGTAGAAGAACATTGATATCTCCACGGACATGATGGGAACCCCTGGTTGTCTTGGCTACACCGCCGAAAAGAGACAGCGCAACAGCCGTTTTGATGTCTGTGTGGCCGTAGATGCTAGGTGCCATTGAATTGATCACCTTCTCAATAACGTTGGGATCACGAGAGAGCTTGCGGATCTCATGCTCGTCTTCCTCCGTCAGCCTGAAACCAGCCAGCTGGTCATGGGACTTCACAACGTTGTTGGCTTCCAAAATTGTTGCAAAGACGGGGAATCCATTGCGATTGTTGAGTTGGGCATCATAGTTGTTTCGGTAGATACCGGTCACTTCAATTTCTTCTCCAGGCTTGGCCTTGTCGATGAGATCCCACAGGAGGATAACATCTCTGTGGCGGGGGAGACGACCAGCAGGCACGGTGCCGGGGGATTCTTGAAGGGTAAGCTTCTGGTAGTTACGGTAGACAGTCTTCTCCGAGTTGAGAGTGAAGGGTCCACGAGACTGACAGCTCTGGCAGTATGTAATCTTCACCTCCACATTCGACTCTTGTTGGAAGGGCCCGAGAGTGATACCGCATTTGCCACAGTCAAACTTGACGTATTTGAGCTGGGGGAACACACCTGAACGGCGTGTAACAACTCCGCTCACACGGACCAAGCAGTTGAGGTGGGACTGGCGGAGTTGGCGCAAGGTGTAATGAACTGGCAGATCAAAGATGCGTACATGGATCTCGGAGTGGATGCGTTCGTAGTCGGGGTAGTGCAGAAGAACGACATCCATAGCAACCTGATCAAAGAGCTTGATCATCTCGGAAGGAGCATTAGCCAAAAAGTAGGCAAGAATTGCCTTGCTTTCTGACAGGTGCTCGTAGGAGACTTCCAAAGACTCGGCGTTGATTTCACCTAGACTACGGATGCGGTTTCCGTAGACGGACGAGCCAGAGGCATCAGTGTAGGATGTGAGGAACGCTCTGAACTCTCTCTTGATGGTTCTCTGGACTGATTGTTGGGATACCCATTCTGTGAGGTTGGACGCCTTGACATCGCCGAGGGCCTCAAGGGACAACTCCTCGTCCATGATATCAGCATCCATGAGGTCATCCGGGTCCTCGTCGTAGTGGTGGCGGCGTCGGCGGGGCTGAGCCGTCAGATCGATCTCTCCATCATCATCCTCGCCGGGGAGGAATGCAGCAGGAATTCTTTGTCGTCGAGCTACTTCTCGATCTCTCCTGTTGAGCTGAGCCTCAAGCTGTCGCCTGGCGCCCAGGTCCATATCTGCAAAGTCTCCATCATCATCGAGGTCGATGGCCTCATATGTGTCGGCTTCTCGGTCCCTGTAGTCAGCCTCGAAGCCTTCACGGAACAGGTCGACATCATCGTCGGCCATTTCGTCGATATCATCAATGTCATCTTGGATCTCGCGCTCTTCGTCAAGATCATCATCGTTATCATCGCCTCCATGGGCAATGTTGAACTCGGCTGGTGGTGACGAGGGCATGGGGCTGGACCCTAACCCAACTGAGGAAGCATCGCCATCGGCAGTTCTTGAGCGCTTTCGGTTCCCTCGTGCTTGTATTCCCCGATTGGCAGAGGAGGGGTTGTCGCGAAGAGGTGAACTGATGGGCGGTCAGCGTCAGTCATGCATTGAGGGAAACGGGTTCGGATATTCTCACCTCATGTTTGCTACCCCGCTGTGGTTGGGAATCTAGGTCTTCGGCTCTTGCAGTAAATAAACCAATTCGTATGAAGGATGAAGAGAGAATATGCCAGAAGAGCGTTATGCGAAAAGTGCAGTGCAGGGTATGCGTGAGGGAGACTGTAGCTAGGGGGGCTTCGCAAACTTTTGAGGGGAAGTGGGTGTCTGGAGGAGAGACAAATGGGAATCAATTTAGCTGGCGCGCGACAAAGACGCGACTTTACGCGTAGCTTTTGAGGCAAGGACGCGTAAAGTGGTCGGTGGATCCTAAATTGATTGATACATGTGGGGCGGGAGCCTAGGGAGCTGCCAGAAATAATACAGCACGTCTCCTGCTGGCATTAGCGCAAGAGTGGTGGAGTTATTTCAGTCTGGTCTCAGTGACGTGCAGCCGGCTGAGCTGAGCAGAACGCTGTGTCGCACTCCAGATTCGCCTTGGTTATCGCCCTGCATGCCGAGATTTCTCGTCTCTGTCTCATCAAACACTCCCTTTTGTTGAAGTCGCACGCATCAGAGGCGCATAGAATCATCTTGAAAATGTCGGCCGATCCTCCAAATGGTGCCGAAAACGCACCTGCTGTCGCGCAGCCCGCTGAACGCAAGAACAGCGTCTCCCAGCAGTCAGAAGCATCCCAGACCGCGGCAGAGTAAGTTCAATTGACAATTCAACAAATTCCGTCTTTTCCATCCACCACAAGCAGCAAGATTCTGACAATCTCATCTTAGATTCATTCGGGACCAGGAGCTTCTTGAAGCCGACGCGCGCGAAGCCCTTCCATACGTATGCCATGACCCCCCAATCATCGTCTGATGATCAGAATCGTTTTGCCATTTCTAACAAGCCTGACAGAGCATCGAGTCCTGTACCAAGATTCTTGGATCCCTCCGACAAAACGTCTTCGCGTGCCTCACCTGCAACCCAGCCCCGGCATCCTCAGCGCAAAAATGGGTTCCAGCTGGCGTCTGCTATGCCTGCTCCATCAGCTGCCACGGTGAACACACACTTGTCGAGATCTTCCAGAAGCGAAATTTCACTTGCGACTGCGGAACAACCAGAATTCCATCGTCGACATCATGCAGCCTTCGTACAAACAACGAGACCAATACCAAGGGTGGGGTTCATTCAGAAGAGCCCGACGCGAACAACAAGTACAACCAGAACTTCCAGAACCGCTTCTGTGGTTGCGAGTGCGATTACGACCCATTCCAGCAGAAGGGAACCATGTTCCAGTGTCTGGGCTTGGGAACTGCGGAGACGGGAGGATGTGGCGAGGATTGGTATCACCCAGGTTGCCTAGTTGGCATGGGACCAGACTGGTTTGAAAAGATGCCATCTTCCAAGAAGGATGTTAAACCCTCCACTGAAGCACCCGGTGCTCCCCTTACCACAATCAAAGAGGATGCCGAGAACAAGCCAGATGGCGAGACACCCAATGCAGACCAGCAAGCCGATGCAGAGAATGAGGATGACGAGCCCCCCAATCCTCCCGGATTCCCTGAAGAGGACGAGTTCGAGGGATTCTTGTGCTATAAATGCGTCGCTGCCAACCCTTGGATCAAATCATATGTTGGCACATCGGTGTTTCTGCCTCCTGTATTTCTCAACCAACCCACTCCAGCAGAGAAGCCTGAGGAAGAAGGCACCTCCAAGAAACGAAAGGCAGATGACGAGACGCTGGGTGATGAAGAAACGGCGAAGCGAGCCAAAACCGAAGACAGCTCAGATGTCTCGGCAGACACCAAGCCTACACAGCAAGCTACCACGGATGCCACCGAGAAGGGCACAGTACCTTCTGACTGCAAGCATGTCAACCTGCCGACACCACCCTCCGAACCTTTTTCGCTTTTCTTCAAAGAAGGTTTCCGTGACCAGTTCTGCCGTTGCTCCAGCTGCTACCTGAAGCTGAACGACCACCCCCAACTCCTCGAGGAGGAGGAAGTGTACGAACCACCCCTGTCGGAAGATGGCGAGTCGCAACATGGCGGCTCGACCAAGGGCAGTGGCAGTCTACTGGAGCGTGGGGAGAGCGCCCTGCGAAATGTTGACCGAGTGCGCGCCATTGAGGGCGTCATGGCCTACAACCACCTCAAGGAGAAGCTCAAGCCCTTCTTCCAGCAGTTTGCAGATAGCGGACAGGCGATTGGAGCAGAGGACATCAAGACCTACTTTGCGAAGCTTCGAGGTGATGAGGAGGGGATCAAGCAAGCGGGTGAAGCTGCTGCCTCGTCCAAGGATGAGCAGGGTGGGGGTGATGACAGCCGCCGTGAGCAGAGCGGCTACTAATGGAGTTGGAGATTGGCGCAAGCGAGCGAGTGTTGAGATATATTTGTAACTAATAGTAGCTGGTACCTTGTCAGGTCACCTCTGGATTGGGTCACCTCTGGATCAGGGATTTGGAGTTGGGTTAGTTGTGTTGTTGCGGCCGTTGAGGGCTACAACCAGGGCTTTGATATCACAATGCACAAATTGAACCGCATTGAACTGAATCAGTGTAATTTTCTTTCATTGTATTATTCTTTTGCCCAACTCCGTAACCTAGCGCTATGCCATATGTTTATATAGTCAAGTACCTCATTATCATACCGTCCCACGCTTCACATGCGATATCCAAACCCAACAAACCAAAGTATCAAAGATCAAATCAGACATGGCTAGTGCCCCGTCGAGCCTGTGCTTGATGCGGCACTCAACGGTCGTGGCGGTGGAACTGGCTGAAGACTCGTATCCTCCCTCTGCATGGCGATCCCTCCCATTACGCCCATGTGTTGGAACGGTGATTGTTGTGGACCTCCGTCGCTATCTTCAGCCTGGCTTTCGGCCATCATCTGCTCCTGCGCAGCTCGCTGTTCCAATTCACGCAGCCTCTCCTTTTCGGCCGGGTCGATCAGATCGTCGTCGCCACTCCAATAGGTGTCATCATCCTCGAGCTCAGGCATAGCCATCCGCTTCCAGAACCGGATCTCCTGCTTCGCCGCAACGCTAGCAACACGCCCATCCCAGCGCTTCTCATCCTCGTCGTACTTGCTCCGAAACTTCCTCAGGCTCTCATTGGCTGTCGATGCGTGCGTCTGCATCTCCCAGATCTGCTCGCGCAACCGGGAGTTCTCTCGGCGGGCCTCATCGAGCTGTGTGCGGTAGGACCGATGCCACGCGGCGACATCCGCAACGTGCTTGGTCTTGTACTCGTGGAACTGCTTGAGCATCACGGCGAGGGCGTTGGCGTACTGGGCGAGGAGCGTCGCATTTTGGTCACGGCTGTGCTTGGCCTTCTCGAGCGACTCGGTGAGGAGGGATATTTGGGCGTCGAGGTTTTCTTCTTGGTCTGCGCAGAGTGAATTGGTCAGCTTGGTTAGGAACAGCGACGAGGTAAGACATGAGAGGGGAGCGCACTTTGTAGCTCATCAGCAGCAGCATCAATGAGTTCGCCATTGGAGATGCCATTGGTTTTCGCCTTTGTGCGGACCTTGCCGAGGCCGTTGACGATGTCCTCTGTGACTTTGCGGTTGTCGGCGAGCTGCTTGCTCAGCTCCTCTACCATGCTGTAGATGTAGTTGAGTTCTGCCTGGTGGCCAGCGGGCGTTGGCATGGACATGCCGCCACCACCTGGCATACCTGCACCGTTCATGCCGTTCATCGCGACGTGGCCCTGGGGATGCGGCTGTTGCTGCTGTTGCTGCTGTTGCTGCTGTTGCTGCTGTTGCTGCTGCTGTTGGTGTTGTTGTAGCTGGGCAATGTGCTGCTGCTGCTGCTGCTGGAGCTGGGGGCTATTTCCAGGACTGGCAGGGTTGGCGGATTGGCGAGGCTGGGGGGGCCGATGCTGAGGTTGTTGCTGGGGTTGGTCGTGGATGGCCTGAGACGCGTTAAGGTTCATGCTAACAGGCTTGGAAGGAAAAACGAGCTATTCAGGCGAGATAACGAGATTGATTAATTAGCAGCACGGCCTATGTGGGCGGTCGGCCGCGAGTGTGGGAAGCTTGATGGGGCTCAGGACGGATGGGGCGCTAAAGGCTTTGTTGAAGGTGGGCTGGTTCCGAGCAGAAATTTGGGGTGAAGCTAGACTGGTTTGGCGTCGGTGGAGGTCGTGATGCCAGTGCTCACCGTCTGCCTGGTCCAGGGTAGTCCGTTTTCTTTGACCTTGTAATTGTCCAGCTTGAACAATCATTCTTGATTCCCTTTAACTCTGTTTTCTTTCCTTCTTTTTATTTTTTTTATTTCTATTTTTTAGAATATGAACCGTCATGAATTCAGAGATATAGATATAAATCCTCCCCGTACGGGCAGAGAAACACTCTCCCCCACCCTAAACATTGAGTACTCTACCTGATGAAGACAGCCCAATAAGAGGTGATGCTCGCCCTAGTTTCAAGATGTAAATCGACCTTTTACCAGTACGTCCCCTGAGGCTATCACAAGTAAGGTAGGCATCGGGAAAGGGCTGCCGAAACCCCCCATTCTTACCCGCACCTCTCAGATGATAGATGCTACCGGCAATATTCACGCAGGGGTAAAGGGTGATATATTTGGCTATTCTCCATATTGCAACTCCAAACACTGCCGTGCGGAGGCTTCGGCCAGTGCCACCTGATTGGTTTTGGCTCCGGAGCCAGCATGTTCCATGTCCCAATTCGTTGTTTTAGGGCCCCTCGCTGCTAGAATGTCAGGATTGCAATTGCCGAGCTGTACATTTGCTTCTGTGATTCGCGCGGAACCGTGCCCTCGGCAGAATTGCGAGTCTATCACGCGGCCGATCCCCTTAGTCCAGAAGGTGACATCTCGGGCTGCGTCCATCGATCACCAAACATCACAGTGTTCTGGAATATCATGTGCGATTGAAATTGACATATAAGGCGATCAGTGTTAGCCTTGACGACCTCAGCTGGGTTCCCTTGTTACTCTCTTCTGACTCTAGAACGGAACTATCTCTCAGCTAATATTGAGCCAACTCTGGTCTATTACTTCTTTCTGCAATATACTCGAAGTAATGAAGCCGATAAAGGCAGCATTTCTTCTCGGCGCCGTCCCGGCTAGCCAGGCAGCGTTGCAGGTTGTTCCTGGGGCGACGTGGACTGCGGTTTGTGAACCCAGAAACTTGCTGGAAGCGTCCCTTCTGTTTTGATGGTCAACTAATTATACCAAGTCAAACACAGGACGCCATGTACAAGCACATGGCGCCGGAATAGTGGAGGACGGAGGCAAGTTCTACATGATCGGGGAGGACAAGACCAATGGCTCCGCGTTCCAAAATATCAACTGCTACTCCTCCTCGAACTTGGTTGAGTGGACGTTTGAGAATGCGTTACTTACGCTGCAATCCTCCGGCGATCTGGGACCGAGTCGTGTAGTTGAGCGACCCAAGGTCATCCGCAACGCTTCGACCGGCAAATATGTCATGTATCTGCACATCGATAGCAGCAATTACGGCGAAGCAAAGGTTGGCGTGGCCGTCTCCAACACAGTATGCGGCAAATACGAGTACCAAGGTAGCTTCCAGCCACTGGGTTTCCAATCTAGAGACATGGGGCTCTTCAAGGATGATGACGGCTCCGCCTATCTCCTAACCGAGGACGTATGCTTCCCATTAAGCTTAATACCTAAAAGACAATCTGCTAACCTTGTATGATGGTCTTAAGCGGGCCAACGGCCTTCGTATTGATGCCTTGAGCTCTGACTACCTGTCGGTGACGAGAAACGTCTATCTTTGGAGTGAGAAGATTGAATCGCCAGCGATTTGGAAAACAAACGGCTACTACTTCATGTTTGGCTCTCATCTTACAGGATGGGACCCAAATGATAATGTAAGTTGACTAGCTGAAGCTCTCGGCCGTTCATTTCGGGCCTTTTTTCTTGCTCTTCTTCTTCTTATAAACACAGCTGGGCTAACAAGTTTCTCCCAACTAGGTGTACAGCTATGCCACATCTCTGTCAGGACCCTGGTCATCCTGGGCCAATTTCGCCGACTCGGGCTCGAACACCTACAGCTCTCAAACGTCATACATCCTCCCGTGGAACGCTACGTCGGCGATATACATGGGCGACCGCTGGCATTCAACGAATCTGAAGCGAAGCACCTACATCTGGCTGCCTCTTGAGCTCTCCGGCACCACCAGCGTGTGGCTGAGGAACCGGGACAGTTGGGTTCCCGATGTCGCATCAAGGCGATGGTCTGCTGCGCCAAGCGAATCGGCCTATGAAGCAGAGGCCGGGACCCTGTCCAACGGTGCTGTTACAGTCAGTTGCTCCGGATGTAGCGGTGGCACAGCAGTGGGCTACATCGGCGGAGGCAGCGGGGGAACGCTCAGGCTGAACGGTTTGAGCAGCGGGGCGACTTCTAGAGCGACGCTCAAGGTGAGATATGCAAACGGCGACAGCGGCGAGAGGTATGGCAGCGTCAATGTCAACGGGGTGAGCCAGAGCATCGCCTTTCTCCCGACAAGCAGCGGCCAGAGCCCAGGCACCAGCGCTGTGCATGTGAACTTGAATTCGGGCGGCGGAAACACCTTTCAGATCACCGGGCTGAATGGCCTGTACGGTCCCGATGTTGACCGGGTTTTGATTCCTGCGAGCTGATTAGCGGCGAGTGCGAGATATGTATGGTTTCGCCGGCGAATGACCGGCATACGGCCGGGGGGACAAGGATAAGCTTGCACTGTCGGTGTGTGGAGGCCCCGAAGATCACAATAGAGTGATGGCACCGACTCATTTCACCGTGAATTTCCCCATATATCAGTGATGTTGTAGTAGAACCGGGGCCCCAGGGTTGAGAGTGTGGAGGAGCTGTGGAGGATATGCGCTAGAATGAAGTCATGACAGGCCAGCTTCCCTTTAAGCATGTTTCAGCGAAAGCCAATCGGTGCGAGTGCGGGTTCCTGTGCATCTTGGCCCTCACCGATGAATTCGAATTGCCCGATGTATTTAGATTGCCAACTTGTGATGAGGATATAATGTCGGGCCCAAGTTTCACTCTCCCTTCCACCCGTTCACTCTTCTCCCCCCAAGCATCAATTGCAAATAGCCAGCTCAGCTTCACTAGCAATTGGGAGCTTACCCAAAAGAGTGAAGATGAGGTTCTTGAAACCGTCGGCTGCCTTCCTACAAACGGTCCTGTTTGTCTCATTTGGTACGGCACAGGACCAACAATACCCCGACTATAGCCTGCTGGCCAAATGCCCGGGGTACACTGCCTCAAATGTGCAAACGACAGACTATGGATTGACCGCAGACTTGTCTCTTGCCGGTGATGCATGCAATGCTTACGGAGATGATCTCCAGGATTTGATTCTGGAGGTCACCTACGAGGCTGGTAAGCAAAAGAAGAGTGACACAGAGACGAGTTGACGAGACTAACATGGCCGGAATATAGACCAAAGACTTCATGTCAAGATCCAGGACAAGGCAAACCAGGTTTACCAGATCCCAGACTCTGTATTCCCTCGTCCAGACAGCAAGAGCTCCCCCAACTCCAATGCCCTCAAGTTCGACTACGAGGAGAGCCCCTTCTCATTCCGCGTCTCTAGACGAGACAGCGAAGAAATCTTGTTCGACACTTCAGCGGCATCTCTCATCTTTGAATCGCAATATGTTCGCCTGCGCACCAAGCTTCCCGAGGATCCTTATCTCTACGGACTGGGCGAGCATACCGACGATTTCCGTCTAAGCACCACTAATTACAGCCGCACTCTCTGGAACCAGGACAGTTACGGAATCCCTGAGGACTCCAACCTGTACGGAAGCCAGCCTTTGTATCTCGAGCACCGCGAGTCTGGCTCCCACGGTGTCTTTCTGCTCAACTCCAATGGTATGGACATCATGATTGACAACAACCAAGAAGACGGCCAGTTTCTTGAATACAACACCTTGGGAGGAGTCCTCGACTTCTGGTTCTTTGCTGGACCCAGCCCCGCAGAGGTGACCAAGCAGTATGCCGAGGTGGCTGGACTGCCTGGATTTTCCCCTTATTGGGGTCTAGGCTTCCATCAGTGCCGTTATGGCTATCAAGATGCATTCGCCGTGGCCGAGGTCGTCTACAACTACAGCCAGGCCAACATCCCCCTCGAAACCATGTGGACTGACATTGACTACATGGACGGCCGAACCATCTTCACAACTGACCCTGAGCGATACCCAGTTGGAAAGTTGCGCAGTATCGTGTCATACCTCCATGAGCGCAACCAGCACTACATCGTCATGGTAGATCCCGCGGCGGGATACAAGGACTACCCGACTATCGCACGAGGTCTCGAGGACAACATCTTCCTCTTGCGCTCAAACGGCTCTGTATTCCTCGGCGTTGTCTGGCCCGGAGTGACAGTCTTCCCTGACTGGTTTGCCGAGAACATCACGACGTACTGGAACAACGAGTTTGATCTCTTCTTCAATCCTGAAGACGGCATTGACATCGACGGTCTGTGGATCGACATGAACGAGCCTGCAAACATTGGCTGCTACTTCCCCTGGTAAATAAAAAAAACCCGTCACTGATTGCCCCTTGATTTTATTACTGACAGATACCCAGCGAGGATCCATACGGCTCAACTGAGGGTTTCCCTCCTGAGCCTCCCGCAGTGCGAGAGAATCCCAGACCTCTGCCTGGTTTTCCTTGCGAGTTCCAGCCACCTGACCAAGGAGGCTGCAGCAGCAACTCAACCAAACAGGTCGAAAAGGTGAGAGACCTCCTTCCAATGGAAGTGAGCACCACCCAGCTCGTCCCTCGCCAAGAGCCGGCAGGTGACCAGAGCGGCCTACCCGGCCGTGATCTCCTGTACCCCAAGTACTCCATCCGCAACAAGGCTGCCTACCAGCCCTGGTCGAACGCAGCCGACGGCGGCCTCTCCAACAGGACAGTCGACACGAACATCCTCTCCCAGAACGGCCTGGCCATGTACGACACCCACAACCTCTACGGCACCCTCATGGGCTCGGCCTCGTACGACGCCATGCGCGCCCGCCGCCCAGACAAGCGGCCCCTCATCATCACCCGCAGCACCTTCGCCGGCTCCGGCTCCAAGGTCGGCCACTGGCTCGGCGACAACCTGTCCACCTGGGCCCACTACCGCGCCTCCATCCGCACCATGCTCGCCTTCACCTCGCTGTTCCAGTTCCCCATGACGGGCTCCGACACCTGCGGCTTCGGGGACAACACCACCGAGGAGCTCTGCGCCCGCTGGGCCTCCCTCGGCGCCTTCAACACCTTCTACCGCAACCACAACCAGCTCGACATGGTCGACCAGGAGTTCTACCTCTGGGACACCGTCGCCGAGAGCGCCCGCAAGGCCATCGACGTCAGGTACCGGCTGCTGGACTACATGTACACGGCCATGGCCCGCGCCTCCAAGGACGGCACCCCCGTCCTGTACCCCGTCTTCTACCTGTACCCAGAGGACCGGAAGACCTGGGCGCTGGAGAACCAGTTCTTCTACGGCAAGGGCGTCCTCGTCGCCCCCGTCCTCGAGGAGGGCGCAACAAGCGTGGACGCCTACCTCCCGAACGACGCCTTCTACGACTGGCACACCCATGAGCTGGTCTGCGGCAAGGGCGGAAACCACACCTTTTCCGACGTCGACACGACGTCGATCCCCATCCTCATTCGCTCCGGCGTCATCCTGCCCCTCCGAGTGTCGTCCGCGAACACAACCACCAGCCTGAGGGAGCAGGACTTTGAGTTGGTTCTCCCGCTGGATAAGAACGGCGAGGCCACGGGTGAGTTGTATTTCGACGATGGCGAGTCCATCGACCCAGCGAACAACGGCGGAGTGAGCTGGATCAACCTGTCCTTCAAGGACGGAGAGCTGCGGATCGAAGGAGAGTTCAAATACCAGGTGCCCGTGTCCATCTCCAAGATTACTCTTCTTGAGGGCAGCCAAGGGTGCGCGGGGAACGCCACAGTCAACAGCGCGGCGTCCAAGCGAACAGCTGATGTGAAGCTGTCGTTGAATGAGCCGGGATCGCTACGTGTATAGTGTTTCATGGTCGGAAGGAAACGGTCAGTATGTGTAGCGCTACAAGCTGGCAACCAAAAAAAGCATTTATAGGTTTCAAGTCTCATGTATTCGTATACTCGAGGAAATATTCAGCCAGTATTCATTCATCATCAATATTGATCAAGCTAGTAAAATTTCAAAACAGACAGTTCATATCTTTTCTCATTTGCTCTATCACGTAATCATCATCGCGTTGGGTCCAGAGGAACAAACTGGTAGAAGAAGGCAGATAGGGCGTACCATTCAGACTTTTGTTTTTGCAGAATGCCCCCCAAAATACAAAACACCGTCGCTAACAATAGAGTCGCATACTAACAACGCCGCCGATAAAAAAAAATGTCATAAGTTGATGTCATAATTCCATTTCAAAAGTTGGAAATAATTTTTGCTGTTGGTTCGAGTTACCGTGAATCGCTGCGGGGCGGTTCATCAACTGTCGTATCGTAAAGCTCATAAATTGTCGTTAACCACTCGTTATCCGTTAAAGTCGTGGGATAGGCTATGCAATGAGCGTCATTGCATCATAAAGGAAATAAGATGAAAATCTAACAATTGGAATAAAGGGGAGCATGAAAAACAAAAGGCGATAGAAGGAAATATTAATAAGGAAACAGAGGGGTGGGAAGAGGACACCGGCCAGAGAGGTTGAACGTTGTCGTCGCCTTGAGCCCTTCGGAAACACGCCGGAATTTTCTGATCAATCAACCTCCATGCAATCAATTGCGGAATCCGGTTCTTTGCCAGGCGAGTCTTCGTCTGGTTTTGGAGGCTCTGCACTTGATCTTGTCGGCGGCTGGATAGAAATTGAGTCTTTGACCTCACTAGCGGAATTGCTCTCGCCGTTGGGCGAAGAACCTCCATTTGCACCAGACAGAAGGCGGTATCCACCGCCTTGTGACTCAATGATATTCTCGTCGAGAGCCCAGTTGATCAGGTGTTTATCAACCCAAGCCTTGTTACCCTCACCCTTCTCCATGTGCCGGCCAACATGTTCGGTCCATTCATCCCAAGAGCCTGCTCCCTCGAACACTGTCAGGCAGTCTGGGTTTGGGCATGCCGACTTTTGTGGTGGATGTCGCCGATTTACCAGGCATTTCTCTTGCATTAGCTTGACATGCGACTCCCATTCAGTCTGGATTTTCGCATCGCTCTTTGAGAGGGGCTTTTTTAATTGCGTGGGAGCGTGCATTCGACGGAGGTGCTGTGTGAACAGATCCTTCCGATTGAACTCGTTGCCCCTACCTTCACCGTTACCTTTCGGGCAGGAAGAGCAGCGGTAATACTGCAAGCAAAGATGCTGAGACGTGATGTGCCGCTTCCATTCGTTTTTTGACCCAAACGTGCTGCTGCAGCCTGCGAATGAAAAGGCACAGGGGAATGGTCGTGTGTGAGCCGCAGCAATATGCTTTCGCAGAGACGAGGAATCACGGAATGGTGCGTGAGTACAATGGTGGCACCGGGTCTCATGTTTTGGCTGAGCACGCCTTGGGACTTTGACACGTTGGGGGCTGGTTCGCACCTCTCCAGAGTCGTTGGATCCTTCGTGATCATCATTAGAGGGCCTACGCACTTTGTGCCTCGATTCGGATGTACCGTTGGGTAACGTTGTTCGTGGCTTCTCCGACCCTTGGGTGCTTTCGTCACTCCGGTGCCTCATATGGCTCAGAGCTTTGAGCTGTTCTGCAGCTTCCCGCATCTCCGCCGACCCCTCATTTTCGTCTTTTCGTTTGGTTGGCGTAGCGCCGGGGCCTGAAGGAAACTGGCCTGGGGTCAAGCTCTCACGGGCCCGATATTTAGAAGCAGGCGTGCTCCGAGCTGCGGATGGGGGAGTAGCGTGCACAATCTGCTCTCGCCTCTCGTGCTCTTGGCTTTGCACCGGTGGCCTTGGGGGATATTCTCTCGCCTCCAACAAGATTCGCCCTCCGTCAGCCTCGTTTATAGATGGCTTGGCCGGGGTGGGCCCGACGAGCTTCTCGTAGAGATGGAGCATGTTGTGCGAGCTGATGTAGCCCAGGAAACAGCAAACCTTATCGTGCTGAACTATATTCCAGACGGAATGGGGCATTGAAATGAGAAGCATCGTCGGGGGTCCAAGGAACATCCCCTCTACGGCAATTTTGGCACCCAAAGGCGGAGTATTTTGCAACCACTGATGAAAAAAGGACATGTCTGGGCTAGCGTCACCGACGAATGTTGTACATGCCAAAATACGATGTTCATCAAATCGGATATCAGCCGCCTCCGCGGGGTCTATGAGGCGCTCCTCACGGCCACGCACAGGCGACTGATCCGATTCGCCCGAAGTAGGCAGCTGTGATCTCTCAGATACAGATACGGGGGACAATGTCAGTCCCTGAGATTTCCCGGGCGTCACGGTGAAGAATACTGGCAGGTGTTGCGGCCTAGGGAGATGAATGCCCCCAGAACCATTCACGAAGCGAGACGGGTGAGGCTGACGCTGCTGCTGGAGAAACTTGACTTCCTCAAAGAGCCTCTGTGCGCTGAATTGTCTTCCAGTGCTCATCTTCTGGAGAGCTTCCGCGAGACTGATGGTGAATGAAGAATCGGGGTCGCTCCGCTTGTCCTTTCCAGGAACACCGGCGGCAATTGCTTGCTTAAGCCCATTGCTTCCCGAGCTTGGTGAGTCGGGGATCGCGCAGGTATCCAGCAGAAAGAGTATATCGGCCTGGGCGTCTTCGAAGAGACAACGAACGCCATCCCATTTCAGTCTTGCCGCATCAGGTCCAGGTTTGCTAAAGAAGAAGGCGATACGTCAGGCCGAGCAAATTCCCGAATTGATACAAATGTAGAGCGCCACCCAAAAGAAAAAGAGTACGAACAAGACTTACGATGCCCAGTAGAGGTGTGAATCGGAACCAAGATAGCCATGACCCGCGTAGTATATGATAAGCAAGTGATCAGGTCTTGCATGGTCCAGGAATTGGGCCATCTGAACACCGAGCTTGATGCTTGGATTAGCCACAGTCGGGATGTGCCATCGCTGTGTGCGATAGTGATATCGAGACTCAAAGATACGGCTAAGAGCAATCAAGTCTTGTTCGACACTGTCGTCGTCCTCCCATCTCAGCAGGAGGACAGAGACTTCCTTATACGAGGACGATGAGCACTCGGTCTGTCGCTGGATGAGCATGGCGGCATCTTGGAGATGGCGGGCGTACGTCTCGAAGTCATGGCGTTCGGGTGGCGGTTCCTGTGGCTGAAGGAGGTGGTGGTGCTACAGGCAATTGTTACGTGGTCAGCGGTGGAAACGCAATTATTCGCAGAGAAACGGATGGACATGTTGACGTATGGGCAAGACAGGTTGCTGTCGAGATAGGCAGGGTGACTGGTGGGGAAGATTGTGGGAGACACATTTGGCGGGGGTGGCCATCGCTCAGGTCGAAGCTTATCTGGAAGGCTCACTCACCAATTCAGAGGGGTGCTGTGAAGGCTGGACGGCAGCTGGGTCGGGTGGAATATGGTTGACCTTGGGGGCCAGCTTTCGTTTCTTGGTGGACGGTTCCATGGACAAATCAGACGAGGGAGCGAGCGGGAGGGGAGGAGAACAAGCAAACGGACGGTGTGGGCGTGTAGGTCAAAAGGGCGAGGAGGTCAGCCAGTCGACCTGGGAGAACGAAGGCAGGCACGGTGGGCAGTGAGGGCCGAAGAAGGGGAGGGAGGGAGGAGAGCTCGGATGAGGGACGGACAATGCAATGGAGAGCGAGAGAGAGGGATTAAGGTCAGGAAGGGGGTGACTGGGCATGGTGCCGAATGGTCAGGCAAGGTAAGGTCGGGGAGGTGAATGGCCTGGCTTGGACTATACGGTATGGGCAGGGAAGCCAGCCAGTAATAAGGCTGGAGATGAGAGGCCCCGAGGGTTCGCCAGCTGGTGCTGGCCGGAGGGCGGAGGCAGGGCAGCGGCAGCGGCAGGGCAGCAGCAGGGCCGCACACACCACTGAGGGCACTGAGGAGGGCGAGGCTGCAGGAGCCTGCCCCTCCGAGCGACCTCTGAGCGACCAAATGTGGGGGAGGGTGCGCCTGTGATTGGCCCTGGGGGGGCATGCTCCAGAGTCAAGCTGCTCTGCTGGCAAAGCAGATTCCAAGCACCTGCTGCGTATGGGGCGGGGCCAGACCATTGACAGAAGAAGGGAAGAGGAGACGGGCACGTCTGGGCCAGCCACTCACCGTCCCGTCACGTCAATGACATCCCCAGTCAGCCAGACAGAGAGGTAGGTGGGTGGGTTGGTGTGTGCGAGAAGCGCGGGAACAAAAGCCCGTTACAGCACCTTGCAGATAAGAGAGACAAGACAACACGACGAGACAGAGCTAAGGCGGGCGAACAAGAGACATACAGCCGACCAACAGGCGGGAGGTCTGAGCGAGACGGGCAGAGACAGACAGCAGATGCACCAGAAAGTGCGTGCGTGCTGTGCTGCTGCGCCTGCAATGCTTGCTCTCTCCCCGTCCAAATGCAAATGGCCCGCCTCCACCTCCATCACATACATGATACATCCACGATCTGCAGCCTCCACCTCCTCTCGACATGCACACTGCTGTGATGACCCTCGCTTCCCTTGATACCCAAATGTCCGTCCCCCTCGGCCTCTGGGCAGCCGCACCCGTCCCGGTTGCTGGCTCACGCATTTTCAAGCTCAGACAGGAATTGTACGCAGCGATTGACAGCTTGCCTTCACAATCTCGTTCGCAGCTACTGAATTCATTTGGTGATTCATTCCTTGTGGGCAATGGCGCATGGGGAGGTAGGGCACGAGCGCACCATGCAAACCCGAGGCTGAGGAGCCGGTTCCATTGGGCTGTGATGCTTGGAACGAAGCCCAGGCTAGACTTTTTAGCATGCAGCTCGCTCACCTACCTTGCCGACCACCACACTGCTGTTTCACTCGCGCCCGTTGCCTTGGCCAGGCTGGCAATTCCCAATAGTTCCTTGAGGTAGTACTCCGTCTTCCTACATACATACACCCGCCCAAAGTCCAGGGCGCCGTCTCCTCTTCGCCAGGAGCGAGCCACGCCAGCCACCCAACCATTGCCATGGCCTGATCACTTCACGTACTATGTAGTATAACCACCGAGTCCGGATTGTACACGTCGTGTACCCATTTGCGCAAGGCGCAGCCAATTACCTTGACCGGCCAATGGTGCTGTCTCGCCGTCCTATCGGCTTCCTGTAAGCGTCTGACGGCAGCTCTCACCTGCCTGCAGCCCAAGAGAGACAGGCTGCCCGAAACAATGAGGTGCGTCCATGTACATCATTTTGTGTGGACGAACAAGAGGGTGTCTCTGTGCCTCTCATGTATCTCCATGTGTTTTGGCGAGCCCGTCTCTGTCGGCAGGATGGAGCTCGCGTCGGCAGCCAAGCACATGGTCACATCTCAGCACTGCGCATCTCCTCCGGATCCTTTGGGCCAAGCCCATCATCTGCCTCAATGCCTGATGAAGTTTTTTTTCGTGCTAGGGCCTGCAAGGTAAACCAAGTGCAGTAATGATGCCTACAAAGCACACATATCTTAGTAGTATCTGTGTCTTCGCACGTGCTCGATACGCTAGCTCGGAAGAGAGTTCTCTCTTCCCCTCTCGCGGCTTTCCCAATCTCGCTTCAGAATTCAATACAACTGCTTCTTTGGGCTGGACTGCTCAACCCAAGCCGAAGTAAAATCACCACAGGCGGTAACGAGCCATCGATGAATAATCACGTACCCTTGCGAAGGAGAATGACGGCCGTCCCCGCACAATGCCACCTGACCGCCTCTTGTGCGATGGCAAGGTAGCAGGGCCACCCTCCTTTAGTTTCACCAGCTAACGTAGTGACCGGTCTTCCCTCGCGCCTTGTCTATCGTGGCATTGAGAATCTCACTGGCGGCCATCTGGCAGGCAAGGATGCATCGATTGTTCTCCCGGTCCTTCCAATTTATTAGATGCTGGGTCCAGGACTATCTTACATAGGATGATGACTGTGCACTGATTCCCCACGAGTTTCACGAGCCCTGGTGGAGGTTCTACCAACACCAGGCTAACTTTTGCCAGCAAATCCTGACCAATGGGAGCATAAAAATAGAAGAAGAAAACATAGGATAAAAATCAGGGTCCTCGCTTACTTGTTAGTCTGTATGTACAATGGCGGGACCTGGGACAGTCGGGACTGATAGGTAAGGCATAGTTTGCTATCAATGGCAGTCATGCACGTTTGTTTTGCCTCTTTCTGCCGGTGATTGGAATTCGCCGTGAGATAACAGAAGCCATGTGCGCAGGCCGATTGCTTGGCCTGGGGTCGTCATCTCGAGTGACCATTGGCAGCCACCATGACTTGGGCGCAGTCGTGACCCGTCATTGGAGGGCTGCTGGCTGCACAGCCCCGTGTCCCACGTAACGCTCAATTTTTGGGTTCGGCAGTGGAAATGTTTCACTAGGCGCACGCGGATGCGATCACAATACGAGCGCTTAGACAAGTAAGCTCCATGGGACGGGCTTTCATGAGCGAACGAGGGCCGCCGCTGCCGGTGCTCCTGGTACTACTACAGTTGCTGCTTCTGCCATTATTGCGGCTGCCTGATAGACCTGAGGGAGGCAAGGCAATGTCGCATCACCGTCGCCTGGGCCAGGTCTTGGCTGTTCCGCAGGGGAAATCTTGATCGTGGACGGCGGGAAGCTGGGTAGGGTATACCCAGCCCGGCCTTCTAGCTGGGCCAACCTACCATACGAGGTAGGTATGTTTACACGAAGGATTGGAGATTAGAGGGAACGGCAATCAGCCACCAATCCGAGCTACTACAACGGGATATTAATAAAACCTGACGTAGCAAAGGTATACATACATGCTCAGATGAATACCTAGATCAAGCAGTGGCAACGAGGATGGCAGTGTGGCTTGTGCCCGTGCCCGCAATACGCTCGGCTCTCCCGGCTGCCAATGGGCTTGGTTCTAGGCTGCGGGGCTCGCTGTGACCTCGAACCTCACTGGAGAGGTACGCGTTGGGCTTCACTGGTGCCCTACAGGCTGCCTGGACCTCGCATCATGGCTCACAGCCTCTCCTCCGCTGTTGGCTGCCGTGGCGTCTAGGAGGCTAAAGTGTGGAGATGAGCAGGGAGCAACACCAGGAGGGGTCGCACGTTACAAGTATGGATCTACTGTAATTACAACATCCAGAATAGTACCTGTTGACGTAGTGCATCCTCCTGGCCCAGCCTTTTCGCTCCTGGGTTTTTTCTCGCTTCTTAGTGGAGCGCACTGTCAAGCTCTGGCTGGCTGAGACGACAGGACCAGACAGGACAGTACGGCATTACCTTCGCCACGCCGTTACGGATATTCAGTTCGCCGCGCATCCTTTCTTCACGCCTCCTATGCATTTTCCACCAAACACACCCTTCCAAGGTATCTAATATCCATCTAGCCGTTACCGTTGCGAACAGGACCAGTCTTCCGCGACGCCCGCCAACTCCCCCACATCGCCATTCCTATCGATACTTGCTCTCCGCGTTACCCCGTTTACTCGTTTGCCTACTTACCCAGTTGTTTGCTGTTGGCTATTATTCTTCTTTTGTCACCAGACTGGTATCGTTCCTCATCCAGCGCCACCCGACCCGGTCATGGACTCGTACGGGGTGAGGAGGAGGGACACGACCAAAGGCCCGCCGTTGCGTGTCCTGTCTCTCGGTATGTACCCTGTGCACCTTTGACCCCAGACAGGCGCTCTACTGTTCCCCATTCTGTTCTTCGAGAATTCTAGAAGCTGACATGAACTATGTAGATGGCGGTGGTGTGCGCGGGTACTCGATGCTCATCATCGTCCAAGAGCTAATGCATCGCACATTCGTCGAGATGGAGGGACGAGCACCCCGCCGCTCCGAAATACCCAAGCCATGCGATCACTTCGACCTTATCGTCGGCACCGGCACCGGCGGTCTCATTGCCATCATGCTTGGCCGCTTGCGCCTCGACCTAGAAACGTGCAAGGAACTCTATGTTAGGATGACTCGGATGGTGTTCCAAACGGACAAGACGATCGCAGGCATCCCTTACCGGTCGACACTTTTCAAAGCCAGCAAACTAGAAGAAGCCATCCGAGCCACCGTGCGTGAACATACAAGTACTGAGGCGGAGGGCAACGACGGTAGCCGGGAACCTGAGCTTGTGAACCCACTCAACGCCGCCCAATTCTCGAGCGCAGCATCGAGTCCTCGCCGGCTTGCAAGTAACGCCAGCACGGTGAGCTTCAGTGCGCGCAGCAATGCCGGGCAGAGTCGCCCTTTTGTCATGAGCGGCAGGTTTGGGGGTGACCCAGACGCAAGGCTATACGATACGCGCAGCAACCGAACGAAGACGTGGGTCTTGCTGACTTTCCTCCCAAAACGCAAAATGATGCTAATACACGAGCGAATAGTGCGGTCACGGCGATGTATAAGAACTCCCCCAGGGGCGCCCCTCCCGTCATGCTTCGCTCCTACGACTCGAGAAAGGAGCCACCCCCCGAATTCGATTGCAAGATTTGGCAGGCTGGGCGAGCCACCTGCGCCATCGGGCTGGCCTTCAAGCCCATCCGTATAGGCCAGTCAGAGTTTCATGATGATGGAGTAGGAACTTTCAACCCGGCTCCAGAAGCCTTGGATGAGGCCGTTGTCAACGAATGGCCAGGGAGAGACGTCGGGGTGTTCGTCAGTGTTGGTACCGGCAGGAGGCCCAAGACTAGCGACGCAAACCCGCAAATGTGGTACGAAGGCTTTCTCGGGGAATTTGCCGAAGCTCGAAGACGGTTGATATCCAAGATTGAGGCATGCGAAAATATCCACGAGTTTATGATGCGTGAACATTTATCAAGGCGGGGCGTCAACCCAGAGAATTACTACAGGCTCAACGTGGAAGTCGGAGTGGGCGAGTTTGGAATGAACGAGTTCTCCCGGTTGGGTGAGATTAGCACAGGAACTCGAAGATATATGGCCAAGCCTGAGGAGCAGAAAATGGTGCTTGGGATTAGTAGCAAATTGGCCAAGGTAACCAGAGCCAAGGCCAGATGGGAACGGGCCTTGAGGGGCGAAGTACCTGATCAGATCCGACCGCCGCCGCCAACATTAGACATCCCAATGGAGGCCGAGCTCCCAGGGGATATGCCTCAGACGCCCTCGCCTCTCAGCCCTCGTGGCCGAGAGTCTTTCGAATCTGGGAGGGACAGTTTACGGGTGGACTCGATTTTGTCGGTTTCCCCGCGCTCATCAAACGATCTCCACCCCAACCGGCCTCATACAGCCTCGTCGCCACCTATGACTGCCGCAAGGCTATCTCCACGTGGAGATGGCCCAGACAAGCTCATGGTAGAATCGCCAACGCCGGCCCAGTACTGGGATTCTTCTGGCGCGGACAAAATTGCCATCATGAGTCCCGACGAATACCCAAAACCTCCTCCTGCGACGCCAAACACTATCCCTCCTCTACGCATTGAGCCTCCCCCTCTGCCACCAAAGACACCCATTCCAGGCCATCAGCAGGCCATGCGAAGGCCGGCGCAAGGACCGACGCCCCCTTATCCGATAGATGACGAAGCCCCGCCACCTCCTGTTAATATGGCACGAAAACCAGATTACAGGGCAAACAATTTCAGCCACTCCTCTTAGGTCCTATGACCATTATGAACGTCATGTACTCGCATAATATATAAACTATATTCAATGATTGGACGACTTTCTTTTGCTCTCCAAGCAGGTTTTTGTTTTTCTTCTCAGCAGGCTAAAGAATACCTGTGAGGCGTTGGGCTTGACATGGCTTGATATTTACTTCGACCCTTTTTTAGCATTCGATATCATTGGCTGGTGACCTTCCATCTAGGTTTTTTTGGAAGGACGGCCTTTTGTTTTTTAGGTAGTATGGTCTATTTTAAAGATTTGAGGGGTGATGTTTCGTCGGCGTAGCGTCGATACCCGGTTGTACATGGGAGAATATACAAATAGAAGGCCTAAGTAATGGTAGATCCATTTGAGTTATGCCATGTAATGTTCCGGTAGAACACCACCGTCCACAGTTACTCGCAGACTACCCAGAGTGACATGCGAGCTCCCTACTCACTGGTAGGGTTGTTGTTTCATCGTTCCCGTCATTGCCGCCAGTCCGGCATTCAAGGGCCTCGATCTAGTGCCTCTTATCCCCTGTCGCTCACTTACCGGTCAACATGAGCTTTTTTGTGATCAGCGCAATTAGCTAGAGCTTTGGATATTAAAGTTGTAAGGAGGGGGGAAGCTGAATAGACATGGCACCAAAGTTGGCGATACTAATCCTAAAATAGGTAGGGCAAAGCCGGGTCGGAAACAGACGATGCAAATGCTAACCTTAGCATCCCATGTTATAGGGTCAAGTATTTACAAGTATCCAGCTTACCTGGCGTTTGCCGCCTCCTCGCCGGGGAATTGGCAGTGCCGATCAATAAGTGCTGTTGATATTGCCTGGTTAAATCGTGGCCTGCAACGCAATGTTTCTGTCGATTCCCACGGCATTTGCACAGTGGCTCCTGCCACCAAAGGTGGGGTAGTCACAGGGGATTTTCCACGCAAGCAGGCCAAGGTTTCGCCCCAGCGCGTGCTAATGTAAGAATCTCACAGGCACACCGAAACGCCATGCTAAAATTACACGTCGATCATCAATAAATAAACTTTGATGATATGAAGCTAGCAGACGAAAAAAGGGGTTGATGCCACAGCAATAGGCCCGATGCTGTAACCGGTTGAACAGCATGCATTATATCCTGATACCGACTATCAATGAGATGGCCAGACTGCACTGTGTAAACCTCAAGCGAGAGGAGTACTTTTCAGCTACATTTCCGCTAATAAGTCCCGTTGACGACTGTGCCTCAGCCCTATCTTAGCCGGTATAACTCCCACTTCCCTAGGGAGGTACACAAGCTACAACCCCTCATTGCCCCAACAAACACACGCTCTTTGTTTAAACTGGAATGCTTCACAACTACGCGATGCCATTGTTTCGAGAGATCAACACGGTAGTGCGCATCCGGAGCCCTTGCTCATGAAAATTACCGCACCGTATGGGCACGCAGGGCAGGGCTAAAAGTAGGGCAGGACTACCTCAAGTAGGTATGTAGGAACCAACGAGACAGGAAAGGGAAAAATAGCAGGGTAATAAGAAAAAGAGAGGAGCACAAAAGCGCCAAAGGGACCCAGTCGCCTTGTCCACGTCACAGTGCTAGCGACAGCTGCAGGTGCATGTGCAGGTGCGACACACGGTACAGACGGCAGGATGAGGCAGGAGGCAGGTGGCAGGTGCCCATACCGTCCATACCTTAGGCTTGTCTTCCGTTCACCGGCAGGAGCGTAACAGTCGCATCCATGCCTTCCCAAGCATTACCTGCCGCTACCAATGCTACACACGGGTACAAAGCAGGTTACCCCAATAATTCCATCAAAGTCGCATTGCCACTCACTTCCAGCTTTCCTATCCCTGCCTGCTTGACCCTTCTCCATCTGCCTCTCTCTCGTCCTGTCGCGCGAGCTCTTGCCTCACTCTACCTCTCTCTGCTCCCCAGCTCGAACCGAGCTCGATGTGCGACGATGCTCCAGATAGAGAGACCGTCAATCAGCTAAGGACCCAGACCACTCGTAAGGCTGAGCATCGCTTGTCTATGGACGCTGGCTTTGGCCCGGCCCAGATCCGAACCCCAACTAAGATTATCCTGCCACTTTGGCATCACCAAGAGGAAGGCTCAATCCGGCTGGGCCTCCGGTTCCTGGCCCCGATTGATCCCCATCAGATCTGATCAGACATCTGAGCCTAGTTTGGAGCTTTCCCCTATCGAATTTTCCAAACGAACTGCCGGGTTGTTCTACTCGATTTGACGTGCTCCGCACCATTCGCGCGCACACGCCCATCTGCCCTCCACCCTGGTGGCCGTGGCATCATGTCCGATAACTTGCAGCAGCGCCGGCAGGGATCCTCATCAACCTCCAGACGCCGCGCCGCCGAACCTCGACAAGCATCCTCGTGCTCGGAATGCCGTCGTCGCAAGCAGAAGGTACCCAATCATTCTCCCCATCCTTGCTATTGCCCCCAATTGGTCCTCGCGATCGACGCTGTTGTTCCTACATTCACCCGTGCGCGTCATTCGGCTGTCCCCTGATGGGGATGCACCACCATGCCCAAGTCCACACTAGCCTGTTCAAGATACCTCATTCGTCTGTTTCCCATTCCTCACACTTCAACTGGCCATCGCCCCGTGCCTTACTACGGTAACCCTTGGTGTCTATCCCTCCTTGGAAAGCTTCCTGGCTTCTAGCCCCAGACCCTTACCATACCTTATTTACCTCCTTTGTGGATGAATTCCAGCTAACATGGGCGGATTGTTTCGGTAAACTAGTGCTCCCAAGGACAGCCCTGCACGAACTGTGCTCGGCGATTTCCACAACCAATCTGTGAATATGAGGGTCGCGTCAAGGCGTAAGTTTATATCGTATTCACAATATCTTGGCATTTCACAACGGCGGGGTCTGACTGATCTTGCCCTCCAGCCGCAATCCGACCACCCAGGCCATCCAGACAGCTGGAACCCAGGTCTTTACCAGAGAAGGACCGTATGCTCACCTGAAGCTGGATGGGATGCATGATGCCATTGTCCAGGTTGAGGAGCACAGGATCAAGGCTCGTTTCGGCCGTGAGGATGAAGATACATTTAGTCTCATCCCTTACAGTCAATTCCCTGACCCTTCACAACCCTTCACTGCATCCCCGATTCCCTCCGAGGAATTTATTGGACACTACCGCAACTGGCTCCCCTTCCGGCTCATTGTAAGAGATCGGGCTGGCCAGCCGGAGAACGTATTGATCTCGGACGCAGTAAGGGCTGTAACCGGGAATGGAGATAATGTCACACGAATTAGTGCCGAGGACGACCTGCTAGCAGACGCTATAAAGCTTGTTCAGACAGCTCGAGGGTCCAAGGCGCCTTCACACTCTCTCTCTCGAGAAGAGAATGAGCTGAATCTTCTACCAATGGCCTCGACAAAATTAAACAAAGAGCTTGTTCGAACATGTGAGTCTGCCTCCCCTTTTTTGCCCTCAAGCTTGGGGACATATTCCGTCACTATACTAAACTCGAAACCAACTTGATAGTTCTTCGACTGCTTTGTCGATTCAAGGGATCGGTCAGTGGAACACTTGATGATAATCAGCTGAGAAATCGGTGGACAAACGTCATGATACAAGAACCTCTTCTCATGAAGGTCACTCTCTTCACCTCGGCATGTTTTCTCAACGAGATAGGTTTTATACCTAAATCCGTTGTCATTGCTCTTCGAGGAATAATCTATACATCCCTCAACGAACAACTCGCATCGAGAAGGGATCAGATCAGCGATGCTACCATCCTCGCGGTTTGCGAAATGGTGATGGATGAGTGGTTCTGGGGCGCCACAGAACAGCTTCATGCGCACATGACCGGCCTCAGAGTCATGATACAAATGAGAGGAGGACTTCGGGGTCTGGGAATGCACGGGTATTTGAGCAAGATGATCTTAGTGTGAGTACTCGCCCATGTATCCATGTGAATCCTTCAGCGCTGCTAACATTCTTTGGGCAGGCATGATTATGTTATGGCCATTGCTCATGATACCCTGCCAGAAATGTACGGGCTGTCTGGTTATGAGTTTGAAGACCCTGTCCTGGTACCATTCGAGACATCTCTGAATTCTCCTCTCATGGCCGAAGGGCCATCATTTGCCAGCTCCACGGGGAAACTGCATCTACACCCGTGTACGGCAATTATTTTGGATGAGGTTCGCACAATGATATATCTTATAACGTCTCTACCAATAGACGCGAACGCAGAACAAACATCAGAAGCAGTCCGTGCTGCTCACTGGGTAAATCAGAGAATCGGCGAGCTGCCCGAGAACGTGTCTCTCAACCAGGTTTACAATCTGAACAAGCCCACAGGCTTCACAGTCTTAAAATCTCACAAAAGCATGTCCGGAACTGCTAGTGAGACGGCAGACAGCCCTGATAGTTCAGGTTTCACAAAAAGCGGACAGTCACCGAAGCAGTCGTCGAGTTCATCGGGTGTTGAAGCTATTGAAAGGGAGAATCCAGAATTGGCAAACCCCGATCAGATGTACAGCCTAGTACGTCTGACAGCTTCCATTTACTGCCGTGCCATTATCAACCGTGCACCCACAAGCGAGGTTTGTAATGATGATGAATTCTTAAGGCTTTGGCAACTTATATGGCGTGTCAGTAAACCTCGATTGCACCCCTCATTCATGATCATTTTGCTAATTTAATTCATCAGATACCTGTGGCTGCACGAAGATCAATTGTCGGAATCTTTCTTTGGGCGCTCATCGCCATTGCCCCAAGTTGCCATACGAAGGCACCGGCACGTTTTATCAGAACATTAATCACCAACTCATACCTGACTATTGCAGTTGAAAACTGGCATCTGGGCATCGAGGCCGCGAATGCAGCTCTGAACCTGCAGCGATGGCTCAGGGGCTCCACGGCAACTGGAGGACTTATAATTGGTGGCGAGGGCACGATTGAGAGATACGGGTGGGCACAAAAGGAGGTATTGAAAAATATAGCGACTATTCACAAAGCTAGCAACCGTACAACGGAG